CCCAGGCCTGAGTAGTAATGGCCTCGTTCAGCTTGTCAATTCGAAGCTTGAGCTGTCTAGCCTCCGCTTCGGCCTCTTGGCGATCCATTACCTCCTGGCCAAGGTCGAGCAAAGACTATTTGGACTTGGCCTCCTAGCTCGTGATAGCCTTTTGAGCCAAGGATAGCTCAGAGTTCAGTTTATTATTGGCACCCCGATGCTATGCCAAAGTCTCCGCGACCTCTGCTGCATTAGCTTCCGCCTTAGCCCAAGCAGCCTCGCTCGTTTTCAACTTGTCAAGGAATTCCTTTTCCTTGACCTGAAAGGTCGCGACTTCCCCCATGAGCCGCTCGAGCTCAGCACGCCTGGCCTCTTTCTCCTTCTCATTCTCCTTCTTTTTCTCTACAAGCTCCTCCCTAGCCAGAGCGTCCTCCTTTATCATCTCCGCAACCTATCATTTTCGGTGGTTTGCCTCTAAAGTGTCGTTGCATTCCTCATACAGAAGTCTGCTCGCCATGACAACCTGAAAAAAGAATATGAGGAATCAACAAGAAGAGAGAATATCGTGCAAAAGAAAAAGGGGCGCCAACTACCGATACCTTCACCGCGTAGCTGCAAATTAAAGCCAACATCTGGAAGGGAGACGAGTCCCTGACGGCCGCAAATGTTCACAGGGTGACTCAATCCCTGGTGGCCCCAACACTCATATGGTCAAGGAGTTGGTCGATCAGCCCGTCGACTATAGCTTGGGCCGCTTCGTCCATTTTCTTATTCTTTCGTTGGGACGAGCCAAATTTACTCCCCCCAGTAGCACATGCCTTGCCAGCAAGAGTAGAGTTCTTCTTGGCCAAACCTTTGGCTGCTTCTTTTTTAAGGTCACCGGCTTGTGTGGCGACCTCTTTGCCCGAGCCATCATGCCATTTGGGTGCTTTATTTTTTCCCGAGCCTCCAGTTGGCTCGGTTGTCTTCTTCATTAGCCCCTTTTGGGGCTCCGTAACGTTTTTTCCTGCCAACTGCCTTAGTGGCAGTCGCGAGCTTCTTCGTGCTTGGGGCTCCCCTAAGCTTGCCACTTGTGCGTTTCAAACCAGCAATGTTTGCCGGCTGCTTCGGGCTTTGTGACGGCTATAGAGGCAGCCATTTGCTTCTTTTTTAGCTTTTTGGCCCACATTTTTGCAAGGAATAAGGCAAACGAGTTAGCAATCTATTTGCGAGGGAAAGCAAGCGAGAGCAAGTAACAACTTAGCCTTTTTCCAAAAGTGCTAGAAAATTGGCCCCGTCCCGACAAAAGCTATACGCTTTCAGGTGAGGAAGGGTAAGAAGCTCGTTAACGTTGCGCTGATTGTCTGAAAGATCGCTAAAACACTGCAGCCTCTGTAAACTCGCAGCTGGAAGATAATTCTACTTGACGTTAACTATAAAAATAAGACATGACGATCAGTTAGATGTACAACTCGAGAACAATCCTCGCACAAACATGGGAAGCCCAAGCCTTACTCGCTTCCGCAGCGAAGACACTGGTCTCCTAGGCTTCATAGAAAAAGAACTGTGAATCCCAATGTGAAACTTTATTCGGGACGTCAACCAACCCGTTGAAACGTACTCTCCTCGCTTTGGAAAGGTAGTACGTCTGGTCTTGCCCCTTTTTGAGCCTGTACAAGTGAACGAGCTCTTCGATGGACGACTTGCCCAAGTTAGTGATCATGTACGCAATGTACATTGCGATAATGATCACTTAAGAATTGGCCGTCAGTTGAAGAGGAACAATGGTGAATCACCTCAACATGATGAAGTAGTGCGGGGGAATGAATACTCTGCACTTAAGGAGAGTCTCAGAGGTGGCTACCCATCCATGTGGGGGGTTCTTTCGAGAATATCCCTCCGGAACCATCAAGTTGATTTGCGGCACGTAGACCGCTCTTTTGCGTCCAAGATCCCTAAGGATGATCGAGGATTGTGGTTCTTTTCGTAGCCTATGGGCTAGAGAAGGCGGGGAGTGAGCTAGCGGCGTTTGGGTCCGAGTTTCAATCGATGAATTCTTCAGAGACCCCGGGAGACACATACCCAAAGGCTGTCGAGCCTATCGGCGAATCGAACATTCGGTCTATGGTACGACTACAAGAGGAAGACATAGTTGTAGCTCGCTTCTGAGTACCTCAAAAAAGAAACAAACATGTGTCAGAGCTCGAACAAATCGACAACCATTCCACACTCGCTTCTATTTCAGGAACCCAAGATAGCTCGCACAATACAACGATGTTACGCGACCTACCCAGGCTACCAACAGTCACCACGTCAAACCTTACTAAAACCTGAGACAGCCGGAGATGCAACCAAAAACCCTACTAAAACCTTAAAACATCCAATATGGCCATTATAGTAGCCACCCTTTGATGCAAAAATCAGAAAAACAGAAGAAAATAAGGAAGAGCCTTACTGGAATAAGAAAAGTGCTGGGAACTCGTGAGAAAGACCACCGCGACGACGTAAGAACAATGGCAAAGGAGAACCAGAGTCAGAATAACTTTTGGAGTGACTATTATGAGGTTTTTTGCTACCTTTTATAATGGTTTGCATGGGAGACGAAAGGGCAAGGTTTAATCATGGCCGTCGACTTACAGTCGATCCTGGCTTTTCATTCATCGAGCAATCTCAACCCGTAGACGTGGCCACGTGTCGACCATCTGCGAGGAGCGATGAACTGTTAGATTGCTTTAATGATAATCATTGTTGCACGTCGCCTCGACTTTGCGTGTGAACAGTTGTCGTCGCCCATGCATGATGAAACGTAACTAACAAAGCCTGCCATATTTAATGCAGCATGCCCATGCGAAAATTACCCGTAAGCCCTGACTGTTCATATTTTGAGTTTCGACAGGTACCATGAGGAATAAAGATCCAAGTTGAAGTATGTCGGCCAAGCACAAGGTCGACCATGGGGGCCCGGTCGAGCATGCACTCGGAGACTCATTGTTGAAGCCGAGCTTGACATCAGATCGAGCAATAGTCTTCGAAGCCTAAAACAAGCATCAAACACTAGGGGACAGATGTTGTATGTGATTTTTCTGCCAAGCTCGGGCCAACTCAAGGATATAGCTCGACCCAAAATGAGCTTGACAACTATGATTGATCGACCTAGCATAAGCTAGTCACGAACAATTCAAGGAATCATTCAATCAATCTCCAAATTACTTTAGATCCCAGATATTGTGAGAATGACTGGATCAACAGTAATCACTACGTAATCACAGCGCCCAATTGCAAGGATATTAGAATTATGATTCGAATAAGTTGTAATCCCCTAAATTTTGTTTCTTCCTTTGTACCAATCTTGTATATAAACCCTCTCAAACAATGAGGAGGGGGTTACGAATTTCAGATAAAAATCGCATTGTAAGCTCTCACATCAAATACAAAAACACAGTGGACGTAGGTTGTTAACCTGGCCGAACCACTTTAAAAATCTCTTTGTTCTTAGTTTATTTCATTCATATTCATCGCTGATTTTCACTAATCACGCACACATCGGTTCTGATCCTAACAAGGTCGATCGGATCACGCTGGTTGGTGTAGAATTTCGTATCAACACATTATATTTAAATTATTGTATCAATTATGCTTTTCAGTAGGGGTGCAATTGAACCGAGTAGCTCCTCGACTCGAATCAAGACTAGGCTCGATTTTCAAAATCGCGAGCCAATCGCGAGTTCAAGTCATGATCGAAGCTCGCAAAAGTAATCTAGGTCCTAGCTCGACTCAACTAACTTGCGAACTGCAAAAAACTTGCATCATCATTCGAGCACTGTAAAGCTTGAAACTCGATTGCTCGATTTCGCTCGTGTAACAAAACATTTACCCTAAAACAAACAACAACACTCGTAAACTCCCTAATTTCATCTATCCTTCAAACTTTCATTGCACCGCCATCGTTGTGCTACCTTCATTACACAGAAAAGTCTGAAACGCCACCATCGTGTTGGCTTCATTACACCATCGTCCAACCTTCGTTCAGCTTGGGTTCCACCGTCGTCTAATTCAAGGGCTCTGAAAGTTCGAATCTGACAATGAAGCTGCTACACTCGAAGGTGAGCTTGCGTCTCTCAGCATTTGATTTTAATATAGTTTCATTTTCTGAAAATTTATTTGAGCTTTTTATGCTTTTATGTGTAATGGATATTGTAATAATTTTTATGCCTGCTTTCAGACGGATGCTCTTGGAATATTCATCTGGGCATTTTTAAGATTCCCAAGCTTCATTTTTCAAGTGTATTTCGATGTCAATGTTGATTTTTAATGCTTTTCTTGGTCTGCTTTAAACACAAAAATAATGCCTCCAGTCTGATAATCTAATGAATAAGTCTATCCTTACAAAGACTTATACAAAGAAGCCTACAAAGTGAAGAAAAAAACAAAGAAAAAACGGAAAAAGAGAGAGAGAGAGAGAGAGAAAAATCATGAAAATCAAGGATGAGGATTATCTTTGTATGTCTCCTTTGTATTTGTCTTTGTAAGACTAGCACTTCTCTAATCTAATATACAAAATATTAGAGCCACGCCGAGCTCGAGCCAAGCATAAATGCTTCGAGCTCGAGCACCCCTTTTCCAATATCGAGCCGAGCTTGAGCTAGCCAGTACTCAGCTCAGCTCGAGTACGCCCCTACTTTTCAGTGCTACAATAGAAGGTTAATTATCTGTAAAACAGTAGAAGTACTGTAACATATATCTCTGTTGGTAAATTTTATTTACTCCATCAGAATAATATATACATGGAAAGGTTTATAATATTAAAAGCAAGAGATGATGAGACATTAAAAATGCTTATGTATATGGAGTATATATATATATATATATCAGAGAATAAAGACTTGAAAAGCATTAATTAGATATGTATATATTATTATGATGGTTATTTGGATTAGTTCAAGATGAGATATAGCGAAGCAAACCAGCATTTTAGTTTGCGACACTACGAAAAGATTATGATTTCTCTTTCTTTTGCAAGCACAAACAGGCAAACGATCCTAATTATTATGAATTTCAAAATGCCAATCAAAATAAAACTAACTTTGAATGAAGCCACAAGATAGTTCCATTAGCAGGATTGCAGCTTCTTCAACATCCTGCGGAAATACTTGTTTAAGAGCAGAATTCTGGCTCAAACTTAGAGCGAAATCCTTAAAGCAAAGCTTTCTTTGGGGCTGATGATGATGAGGAGGATCTGGAGACTTATTGCTTTGTTTTTTGTAATGTGCAATATGGGTTGCACGTGATTTCTTCTCCTTGTTTTGCACCTTAATCTTGGAGTCGGTGGCTGTAATTGTGCCATTTGCTGCTGCTTCCATGGCCCGTCTTGCCTTCCTTTGCCGAATACCACAAGCGTTACAAAGTGACTGCACCAATATATGTAAAAAGGTTTACTTTTGTATATATAATGCATTTGACAAATTATATATCAACTTTAGAATACCTTAAAAGTTTTGCAATAGAATTATAATGAAGAAAAATTAAGAACCTTGGGACCACGAGGGCCGCTCCTCCAAAGGGGTGTGGTGGTCGTGTTACAGTCTGCGCAGACTCTAATGGTGTTGTTGCTGTTATTAAAAGAACTGGTTTCGTTAGTATCATGCATCTGATATTGAAATTTTTGCCTTTGGGTAATTTTGACGGATTCTTCGGTTTCTGTGCAAGTCGAGTTCATCATTTTTTCCATTAGTCTCATCTTCGAGGACATCCATTTAGCTGAACTGTTTTCAGTACTTTTATTTCCTTCTGTAGCCTCTCTTGTACACAACGACATGTTATATCCATTGGTTACATCGTTCATCATCGGCTGAATTGAAGAAGATGAAACTACATGTACATCACTTGATCCTCCTTGAGCCATGTACTGATTAACCTAAGATCAATTGAAGTAAGAGATTATCATACTTATCAAAAGCCAATTTAAGCTACCCCTCATAATTAAGGACCGTGCTAGTGATCGTGAGATAAAGCTAAGAAAATTGAATCAGAGAATATAAGAAACTAGCTAACTTTTGTACTTTCCATTAATGAAAGATCTGACTAATAAATGGTCAAATTAACAAAGGCCATAGATTTTTATATATGCTTATATATCTGATATACATTTCATGTACTATCACTCTATAATTAAGCTATGATCATGAGAGATACTAAGAAATTAACCTAATAAACTGGAGAATTATGACTAACACTTGAAGAATCACAAAAAGATCAAAGATCAGATGTATGAGATAAATAATCAAATCGTAAGGTATTTGTAAAAGGAGAAAATGAAACCACGGGGAAAGAATTAAAGAAGGTAAATAATATAACCATAGTAAGTTCACGTGTTCTTGCCTTCTGATCATGTTGTTGTGACTCTTCAATTACGGTCATTCTTTGATCTTGAGTTGCGCTAAACAAAGTAGGACATGAGAGAGAAGAAGGTGGTGGATGTGATGATGACAGGAACAGCTGCAAATGTTGTTCATGCTTTTGCTCTCCATCAAGTTCAAAAGAAGGGGGTGGTGGGTTCAGATAAACAGGAGTCATGGCGAGAGAGAAGAGATGATTGGGGAATTGTTGTCCAGCGAAGATGGACAATATGGAATGGGATAGGGCAAATTAAGAATATGATCACAAGGCTAAAAGAACCTAAATAAAAGGCAGTAAAGGGTGTTATAAAGAAGGAGATCAAATCAATAGAAAGGGGAAGAAAAAAAGAGGTAGAGGCCTGAAAGCCATTCACGTGACTTCATGTCACCCAAATAAAACAAGATAAACAAGACAAACTAAAAGGAGGTGTAGAATGCAACTACTCAACCCCAGTATGACAAAACCCTATCTGCACTATTTAATTTATCTAGCTAGCTTTACGTCTCTCATACCCAGTAAATATAAACTATATATATACTGTATATACTAATTTTTTTTTCTTCAAGCATTTAAGTTTTTATGCCCTACGCATCACATGTCTTTATTTGTCCTCACAGTACTGTTCAAATCTCCATTAATGCAAAATATTCTGCCCTTGTAATACAAAGAGTTTGCAACACATTAAATAAAGTAATTAATAAGAAATAATTAGATGATTTGGATAAAATTATATACGTATTTATAAATAAATAAAAGTAGTTTCTTACTATGTAACCACAATCATTTAATTAACATGTATATGTTTATTCTTCTATGTAGAGTTTGTGGTTTCTTAAAGAAGAGAATATGTATTTTCTTAAAGAAAATGACAAATCGTAAAGATATCTATAATAATATAATAATATTATACGTATAAATAAATCTTATAAAATTTACATACAAAGTGATGTGGTAAAAAATAAAATAAAAAGTCAAACTCATTATATTCACTCTTCCATTTATTTTTTGTCACATTTGTATGAAGATCTTTGTAAGATTTATTTATAAACGGTGTATTACTAATAATAATATAAAGAGGCTACATATCGTCTAAAGTCTTAAGATCGTAATTTTAATTTTCTTTCCTCTGCGTGTGGCAGAGTGCAGAAGAGAAGATACATATCTAGCCGTTTGGATTCGTAATAGCCAAGAAAAAGTCGATCAATAATCCAATATAGTTTATAAATACAGCGTATCTTTGCCAAATTTCCACTACCGAAGCACAGAAAATGAAAGATATTTGGAAGATTGGGGAGAGGAATATATTATGCAGATATATATATAAAATGGGAAGGAAGATGGGTTGCATGCATGGGAGCATCTAGTGTTCTTAGTGTTGCCAAAACGCATCAATTGCTTTTGCAGTTAGGGAAACTGACAGCCTCTTTAGTCCCCACATTTTTTGCCATCGATCAACCCTTCTCATCTTTTGCAGTTAACTTTTACCGGTTACTTCCAGTTAAAGAAATAAATTTATTGCCAGCTCCGACGCTTTTCTTTATAGTGATCTGTCATTTTGATTTCGTCCTTCTTTGTTGCCTTGAGAAAGCCCTGCTGCTATATCAATCAGCACAACAAAAGGTCTCCCTATAGCCACGTATAACTTACTGGTTAATTATATGCACTTTGGCTTGATATATATTTGTGTGGATCAAACATAAGCTAATTAAAATTAAAAAAAATCCCAGTCCTTTCATGAGATATTTTAGAGTTTATAAATTAATTATATCACCGAATTAATATTATAAAAAATCAGGTGAGTTGCTACTTCACATGTGAAAGCAATGATTACTTGGTGTCTGCAGGATAATGGAAGATTTTCTGTTCTCTTGCAGTTTCACAAGATTGCAAGATTATTGTCCGGTTCTTCCTTGTTACCTGAAATTCTGTATGCCCTGAACCTGAATATACCATTTTGGGGTTGCCAAACATGAATGAATGTTTGGAGATATCAACTTATCCCTTTGAAGATTAGGCAACCAGATAGAATCTGTGTTATCTGTTTGTCGTCAACCAAGCCTCTCCAGGAAAGAATAAAACGTAGACCGAAGCCTTTAATTAGTTAATTAGCTTTAATAATTAATTTTATTTGAATATACGTGACGGTGGAATATATCAGATTTTCATTATCTAAAACCTTAACTAATACTGTCCACAAAACCATATTATCCTTGACAAAACTTGCTCTCATTGGCCCTCGATCGGATATCGATAATCTCTCTTACGTGCAGAATGCCAGCGTTGAAAATCTTATAATTGCATGTTGGCAAGATCATAAAAAAGAAAAGACAAAAGCTTGATGTTTTAATCTTTTAATATTACCTGAATGATAATAAGTGAATCACAATGCTCCGTGGTTTTCAGCTTTGGGCACCAGTCCCACCACACGATGTGACTGCTTGAAATCAGTGGATCACAAGTCAATAACGTTAATCTGTAGTGGTGATCAAAAGGATAAAATTTAATCAGCATGATTTATAAGATGAAAAAACATGCTACGTGTGGTCACTCCTATCATGGAATTTAAACTTCGGATCAAAATTAAAATATGTGATGATGGAGACACTGTCACCTCTAAAATGAAGGTTGAAGTTGAAGGTGTCCCCTGTGCTGGTGTTTTGTTAATGATTTGGTTGCTCAACTAAGGGGGCCACGGTGTTAGAGCTAGATGACACTTTCCTGGTTGGCAAAAGGTCCCATAATAACCTCTCTGTCTCTCTGGGCCTTCTTGGGCTTAATAAGTTCAATTCATAATTGGCCGAGGCCGAAATGATGGTCCTGGCTCTGGGCGCCTGCAAGTGCCGCTTTGAAACCCAGTGACCAGAAATAGCATCTTCTCTGGGCCTGAGTAAAACAACCCTAAATCTAAATGTTAAAGAGATGGCAATGAAAATGGCGCCCCTGAACCTTAAGGAGAAAGTAGAGTGGACCAAACTCTCTAAATCAAGGAATTTGGATGGAGGTTGCCACAGTAGGTTGAAGACTTGAAGTGGCAACTACTCAAGCTCTCTCTTTTAATATCAAATCAATGACCATTTATACTACCTAATAATGTACATTACTATTTTTGCCAAGACACAAAACTGATTGCACCTCTGACCCAAGGCGGCTAACCTTCTTTTCTTTTATCTGCAACATCAAATTATAACCAAAACATTGCTGTTGGTATCCATTGTCAGTCTCTTTATCATACCCTTCTCACCAAGGTTGTCTTAAGAATTAAGGATTGTGATCACTACATGAAATGAGTGTAAGTATAACCACTAGTTAAATGAAAATGGGGTGAATAAATACTAATGAGAGTCATTTAATTGACCGATGGCCATCATAGAGGTAAGATAATAGATATGTAACCTCTCCTCTTGTGACCGGATGACAAATCATTTAGTCATTGGGGTTAGTTATACCCAAAGGTCTTATGTTAGAGTAATTGGAGAAAGGCAATTACCTTGTGTTACGGCTGATTGAACAAAAAAGGGGTTGCATTGGGAGTTTACATGACAAGAATAATTAACAAGTGTGGGCAAGCAAACATCTTTTTTGCAATGGAAAGTTGAACTGAAAAGAACCTACAAATACAGTGGCTGTGTGGCAAGCATAAGAAACCCACAGCAGGTTTATGATTCATCTGTAAAGTAGGTGAGTCTTTTACTGGGTGATGAAAGTTGTCACATCTCCTTGCTTTTTAGCTAGGTAGCAATTAGGTGGAGGATGGGTCTGCTCTGTGAACTATGGGTTAGCCGTGGGGTCGGTACAACAGTAAATCTATTTGCTATATTAGTATACTCTTCTTTATATATTTCAATCAATTTTTTAGTCCATACGCAATCAATAAATGGAAAACATTTATTTCTTTACAATTTTATAGTAAAAATTTCTCACTATTAGTTAAGATATTAAAATCATCACCCTCATCCACCCCTTACCTTTTAATAATACTGGACAATAGTTCTGTCTCAGTCAGAGGCTACTTTTGAGAATGCCATAACTATGGTGGAAGGAATTTTTATTTTTATTTTTCCAAAAAATTTCCCTTTTTTTTAATCTTTTGGTTGGTTTGTGGTGGGATAATATATGAACATTAATAGAAGAAGGTGACAACATTTGTCTGGTTGCTGCAGAATCGGATACGATTTTACCAGCAGGATAGCTGGCACATTTGCTATTGTTCCTTTTAAGGAAGTTGCATTTGAATACTAGAGAAATTTTTTGAATAATATTTCATCTGACACCTTGCATTGCATAGCTTAATTTAGATTAGACTCCCACAACACCATGGGTGGGTAGTCACTGCACTAGCAACTGCAAGGTTTCCCATTCTAAGCATTGTTTATATATATGTTAGAAGCAGAGCCATTGAAAGTTGAAACAGGAGCAAGAATAGATATGAAATCATTTAATATCAAGTTCATCCTAATTTTTGTGTGTGTGAAAACTGAAGACACTGATTTTTAAGCTTCATTCTTGTGAAATATATAATATAAAACTATGGGAAAGCAATTGACGAACAAGTCCTATAAAATCCAAAAGGGCAATAGAAAACACCAAAATAGAGAAAATGGTGATGGTTTTGGTATTGGTATGATAATGAAGTGGATCACATGCATGAGTATAGTACTAAGCCCAAGGTGGAGGGGCAGTGAAGGAGATACCACATTCATGCAACCCAATTGAAAAATATAATTATAAACCAAAATCTACAGAAGAACAAACAAGTTCAGCTACTTGTTGTAAGACTGTGTTTGGCATTGGCTATGTCTTTGAGAAGAGGGATACAAATACCGAGTATTATTGAGCAGAGTAGGTACAAAAAAAGGAACACGAGAACCAAACATACATGAAAACACCGTCAACAGAGACACCTCCTACCTAGAAATCTACTCCTGCTCACCCTCACTTCTCCCTACACTACTACTATTATAACACTCACTGATCTCTACTTGTACTAGTTGATTAACATCATTTCATGATTTTCCATTTGATCACTACTTCCAATCTTCAAGCTCCACCGGTGGGCCCCACCCAAGTACTCTTGCCAGCCACTCATCGCCGTCCTCCTCCATTACATCACACCCCTCCCCTTCTCCTCCGCCGTGACACCCTATCCCCACCGTCCACTCCCCATTTCCTGACAACCC